TAGGAGATTTTTGCAGATATCTTTTTGATTTGTGAAAATGACCAGCCTAGCGGTATGCCAGCCGCTGATAAATTATTATCTTGCTGCGGCCGGGCGCTTATTTGCGGTGTTTGCGTTTGGCGGCTGGCGGGCGACTTTTAGTCGTTTTCGGTTAGCAGTTAGCGTCGGTGCGGTGCGGGCGGTTTTATTTTTTTTCGGCATTTCGGCGTTTTTTTCTGTGTGGTTTGCGGCGGTCGGGTGATTTTTTGCCGTTTGCGTTGGCTTTTCGGGCGTGCGTTTTACACGTTTTGCGGTGTTTACGTTTTGCGGCGGGCGGGCGTTTTGTGTTTTTTGCGGTGTTTGTCTTTGGCGGCGGGCGGGCGGGCGGGCGGGCGATGCGGGCGGTTTTCTTCTTTTTTTTTGCGTCGTTTGCGGTGTTAAATTTGTTTGCGGTTGGCGGGCGGTTTTATTGTTTTGCGGCGTTTTTGCGTTTTTTATTTGCGGTTTGCGGCGGGCGGGCGTTTGTTTATTTTTTGCGACGTTTGCGTTGGCGTTTCGGGCGTGCGTTTTGCGCGTTTTGCGGTGTTTGCGTTTTCCGGCGGGCGGGCGTTTTTCACAATTCAAAGTCCAAACCTTCGGGCCACAGCGCTCCTCGAAAAGCGCTGCCCTCGAGTATTTTACGCTCTTTCGAACGCCGCCTTCCGCGTATCGCTACGTGGCCCAGGAGCCGAGTTAGAAGGGGGGGTGCTCAAACACCACCAGCAGGGCGTGGAAATCCAGGACCCTCAGCGGGGCGCGGGTTAAGGTGTTGTATGTAAATATCTGGCTTATCTTCCAAAACTGTTGTTTAAATAGTTTTGTTAGTGCGTGCTGTTAGTCAGTGGCTGCGGAACACCTTCAATTAAGGGGGGGGGGGGGCACTGCCGACTTTGGTCCCATTCTTTCCAAGCAACGCCCATAGGGCTAATGTTAAAATGCCAAAATCAAAGGGGGAACGGTGCCCCGGTGCCCCCCCCCCCTCCCCCCGTTCCGCCGCCTATGCTGTTAGTGTAGCAAGGTTTCTTGGGTATTTCTATTAAACACCATTTACAATTGATACAATTGATACAATTGGTATACTCCATACAATTGATAAAAATGTAATAGCAATGATCGATTAAAAATACCTTTAAAGCCATGTTTGTCCCACCCCCTAGCTACAGCCCCTAGTATAAACGGCCAGACTTTTTTAACTCCTTTCTTCTTGTAGAGCAAAAAGAGGGCTATGGACCGAGCTTAAATTTTGAAAATAATTCAATCGGTTATTGGGTATCGCGGAATCTCCGGAGTCCGGGGAGGGGTGGATGAGGCCAAGCCAAGGCGATAAATACCAGGTGGCGTCATTTGGAATTATGTGCAGGCAAGCTGACGTCACTGTGTGAACACTGGCAAGGATGAAAATCATTCAAGAAATAATATTAGTCATTAAAATTATATTTTCATAGTTCAAGTGTTCTTCAATCTTTAAAAAAATCCTAAAACAGGTATATTTATTCAAGCCGTTTCCTCAGCAAATGTTCATATTATATCCTATTTGCACGATTATACGTCATCAAACCCGAACAAGTTACAGGTATTCTGTTGACTACAGGGTGTAACGAAATTATCCGGACATCTATTTTTTCGCCATATCTGTTCGCACAGTTTCTTTTCTGGTGTTAGAAGCGGGAATATTGGATGAATGCGTACCTCTGGTATCTGCTTTCAATTCAGCAGTGTTCTGATCTTGCAAAGTGACTCTTTCTGTGAGTAAGAGCCGAGTCACCGACGGGTTCATTTGATAGTTTTCGTTTAAGGCAATGGAGAGAAGGGAGTACAGTCTCTCGTTTCGTAGTAAGGCTACGTGTTGGTGGCATGGCGGCATGAGCCCGAAGCTGATCTGCCTGGACATCAGCAGCAGCCAGTTGCACATATGCCTGGTGCGTGATAAGCTGCAGGGACTTGGGTGGCGACCCACCCTTAAAAAAGAAAAACCTCAGATTGTCTTGCTTCTTAATAACGGCGCAAAGAAAGATGCCCGGATAATTTCGTTACACCCTGTATGGCCTGGATGATAAGGACCTCACGTTCCCAATGAAGGATTATCGAGGAGCTGCCACTAATAAGATTTAAGGAAATATACCACCTTTAACATGGGAATCTGAACTGAAATTAAAGTTTTGTGGCTTGAGCTGAGACTAACACTAATCAGGATCTTTTACGGCCAAACGATCACCCTTAGGCAAAGATATTCCATTTACCCTCGACCAAAGATGGAAACTAGTTCTTCCTATAGGTATGGAAATAAATTTTTAAATTTTTTTTTGTAAATAGGTATTCATTATTTTCTTTTCAAAGTTATCTAATCATTTTAATCATAGGTAAACAAATCACAAAATTGCAGTAAAAAAACTAATTAAGGGAAATATAGCATATTCCCTTTCAGGAATATGCGTGCTAAAACAATTTAACCTATTTAATGCTTATGTAACGAAATGGAGAGTGTATCATGCGGAGTACTACGTGTCCTCTTTCCTTACCCTGTCCACTTTCTAGCAGGCTTGTATCATTTCTTCCTTCGTCCTCTACCTCAGGTGCGGCATTGCTGCTATCATTTTGGCGATCTTGGTCGTCGATAGATTCGGCCATGCCTGCCAATAACAATCACACTTAGTTTACATAGAAAACTAAGTAACCTCATTCCCACATACAGGGTGTCCCATAAGTTCCTTCTCACCTAAATTTTTCTTTTAGAGGCTCTCTTATTTAAAGCCACGCTTAATTTATTTTGTAACTGAGCTTTTGGGGTTGTCATGGGCGACTCATGGCAACTGTGAATATGCTCCACGGTAGCTAATTCGTCTAGACAAAATATTTTTTGCTAGAGAGTTCACTTCCTTTGGAGACGGCTTACGCCGCAACGTAGAGGTCTCCGATACGGGTACGTCTCGGTATTTAGTCCGCACGTGGGCCATTCGCGACGGTTGAGGGTGATTGAGGCCATCCAGTCTGTAGCCAATGTCTGTCGCTAACTGGACGCACAGTCAGCAAGTGACGCCGATGATTTGTCGGGAGTCAATCGCTGCAAGTTCATGCTCTTTTTTGTCAGCTCTCAGGAGTGAGCCATGTGGCCAAAACTGTGTGGCGCCAAAGTGGCCGTCAAAAAGGTCTTAGCGTTAGAAAGTTGGTAAGCAGGCTTTTCAGGATGGATTACCAGCTTTCTAAGAGTATTATTTCGGGGTACATAACTCACGGTCACTTGGGCTTAACCCGGCAGGCGGTGGGCCTCCCGGCCACCTTCCGCGCGGTGGGGCATTTTTTGCCCCCCCCCCGTATCTCCGAAACTACTGGACGGATTCGGAAAATTCAAACGGCGTTCGATAGCCCTGTCAAATTTGTTTAGGGAAACCAAATTTTATTGACCTCGGAGTCACCGATGACGTCACAGGTCAGGTCAAAGATAAAATGTTTCACCGTTCACGGGGCTTCTAGGGAAAGCGCAATAACACCGAGTAAAACGCATTTTGTCGAAAATCAGCGATAGGGCGTCAGTTGTCTAGTACATATGTTGCTATTTGAGGTCACTGGTCATGCCAGGTCAGGTCACCAAAGGTCACCAAGAGTCACCACATGAACGAACACAACTTTACTAAGGTTGTGCGTGCATGTTTTATGGCCAGTTTTTCATTTCCAACTCAATGCATCTCGGTGCATCTGCCCCCACAAAGAGATATAAAATTACACCCCTTTCATTGGCCATACCATCGTGAAGGTCTCACAGTCAGTGGTTGTTGAGTGCTCTCTCACAAATACATTCGCAGCGTTTGTAGTTTTCTTTCAAATAAACATTTTTTTAAAGTTCACAACATTAAAACAATGCGGGATGTCGTGGAAATGGTCATGCAATAGTTAGGTTTGTAGGCATATCCCTATATTGTAGTTCGCCTGGGATTTTTGAATTGTGACAATTGTGGTGCGTATTAGACACTCGTTTTGTTACTTACTTTCAAGCAGTATGATCTCGATGTTCAGCGTACACAACAGCTATGGCGCCAAAATTCACGAAAACTCGTGAGCACGGGCGGGAAAATTGTCTTTTATCACGGAAAAAGCTGACAACGTGGCCAGGGTGGGCGAACGAGGGCGCTACCTGCCGGCTTGTGGGCCGGGGCGGCGACTCGGCCTTGTTTCTGCGCGCCTTCGTATCGGGCCTCGTTGATTGGATGCTAGGGCGCCGAGATGACGTCACATTGTTTCGTCATGCATGTGATTCATGCACTGGCTGCACTGGACCGGCGACAGGGGTGCGTCCGTAGCGATGGCCTTGGCAGTGGCTGTCAACAACATACATGTACCCTCCGAGGGCACGAGCCGAAGGCCAAACATTTTTGTAGAGCCGTCGCTGCATTTCATTATTTGCACGATCACGCTTATAAGTCGTTTATGAAACCGTTATCGGAATAGGCAGCATAATCGCGCCATGAAATGATTCATCATTCATGCCTTGATTGTAGGACGTAAGTTACTCACGTCGCGGTCGGAGTCGAATCCCACAACACATCCTATGAAAAAACAGTCGCTTTGCTACCCGATCTTTTACCATCTTATCGTGATCTTTCCGCCACGCCCTCCCGATATCTTCATTCGGGGGCGTGCAGGCCAGAACCTTCTGATGGAAGAGGCACATTGGACCCTATGGCTCCTCTCCTCATTGCAGATGGCCCCTGTGCACACGCTCCGTTTTCAACGATCTTAGAACCTGGGAAAAGTGGAAAATTGGTAGGTACAATTTACAAATACATATCACGGCTTTGCCTGAGGAGTGTGCATACAATGCTTGCCATTTTACGAGTGGACTTCTTTACATAGGTGCAGGGCTAGATATTTGCATATGTGGAAGCGGAAGAGGGCGTCATCCGCAGGGCCTTTAGTGTCAAGGGTTGGGAAATTGCATTTGGGTGAAGTTTCTGCCGGCGGAGTGACGGCAGCGTTTGTGGCGGCAGGCTGACGCACGCCGGCAGCGGCCGGCGGCTGACGGTGTTCACTGACCAGCCGGCTCTGGTGGTCTACACGGCCAACCACCTTCCGGCGGCACCGGGCGGCCTGCCGGGCAGGGGCGGCGCCCGCTACCAGCGCCATGGCAGCATCGCGCTCGAAACCAGCGCCTTCCCCAACGCCGTCAACGTGGTGAGTGCACCGGACATGGGTCCGCGCGGCTGCAGCCACTGGCGGATCCAGAAGGACGGTCCGGGGGGCAGGCCCCCAATAGAAATTATCCTAAATCGATAAACTCCTCGTTTTACAATCTCTTAAGCAGTTGTGAAATTTTTTACAAACTTTTCCTTGATTTTTTTAGTTTATTTATTTTTCTCGAAAAAAAACTCGTCAATTTCGGGCGCCGTGGGAGGGGGACATTTGCCCCAAATGCCCCCATCCCCTGGATCCATCAGTGGCTGGAGCTGGGTCCGGGAGCCGGCGGCTGGGTCCGGGAGGCTGCAGCTGGGTCCGGGAGCCGGCGACTGGGTCCGTGAGGATGGAGCTGGGTCCGGGAGCCGGCTCTGCAATAGAGCGCCAGAAAGCATGGCTGTGCACATGCAGCGGTGGGTCGTGTTTTTTTTTCGGAGATTGACTTAGTAATAATAAGATTCCATGTTTCCCATTCTGCTGCCAAGTAGTTTCACTGAGATTGTGACTGTTTTTCAGCCATCATTTCCATCGGTGACGCTGCGTCCCGGCAATGTTTACGAGCATCGCTGTGTGTACCAGTTCGGTATCGGGGCCCGGTGAGCTGCAGCAGTCAGACTGTCCGCCTCGGGGCATAGTGGGGTCACCGAGCGCTGGCGGCAGCCTGGTGACTGGTGTCCGGGACACATTTACCGACCATTTTGTGACCGATGGGGTAGTTGAGGTGTCGAACAGCCGTCATTGTCGAGCCGCACCTGCAGTTGGAAACTGACGAGCAGCTATAGTGCAAAAGTGAACTCAACTGTCTACCTTGCATGTAAACGGATTACGTGTGTGGCTGATGGTTAAACTTTTTAAGACTTGGCTACTTAATCACATACGAGTAGTTGGTTTTACAATAAGCATTGCTCCTCGGTACAACTTGTGAACTGATTGAAATACATGGTTTGCATTTATGATGATTGTGGTGTTTTATTTGTAGCTACTAGCTATGTATACCTATTTGATATGCTTCAAGTCAGTTATTAGCACATGCCAAGTGTGACTACGTTAAAAGCCACGTTAACTGATTTCCACATGTAAATGTTATGTAATTTATTTTACATTTCTGTTCAGCTCAAATTTATAAAGAAACTATTATCTCAAATATGAACGATTGTGTAAAGCTTTCATTAATGTCACATGCTCATCTTTGCCATATTTCTCTTCAAGGAGAAATATGGCACCTATCATTGACCCGCTGTCAAAACCGATGGATATGAAATATCTAAAGCTGTAAAGACTGGCTAGGTGAATTATGCAGCACGCGTTTCTTACCGTTTTCAGATGAAGTCACTCGTGTTATTCTGTTCAGGATTCCCCTGTTTCTTTGCTTGAACGGTCATTGGCGCGCTCCGAGCCGAACTATCAAGTAACGATCGCTAGGATGTGTTAGTTTTCATCACTGTGAGCTCATACAGGGCAGACCGGTAGGGTAAGGTGCCTAATTAGCGACCCCCTTAATTTGAACCGTCATTGCTCACGCTCTGTGGGTGCCACTGTGTTACTGGCTTGACTTTCGGAGAGATCGTTCATTTTTCTATTAAAATGTAGTCATTTTCTGCCCCAATATTCACTAACTTATTTGTAGTGAGCATCTCGGCAAACCATTGCAAAAAACGCTAATAGGGAACTCTTCCCGATTAGCGACCGGGGAGGGTCGCTAATAAGTCTATGGATTTCCCCATATTAAAAATGGCAAAAAATGCGACGCCTGAAAAGATGAAATATGATCTAAAAAAGGTAACCTATACGCAAAGCACTCAATCACTCGAACAGGAACGTTTATCCAACACATTTACGTAAGTAAAAACTGATCACGTGATGCACCGAAGGCGAAAAGAAGGCGGAAACCCAAATTTTGCGGGCTATCTTGTATGATATTCGAGGTCCACGCTGAATTCGGCACCCCTGCAGTCAGTGACGACATTTGGCATCCCCTGCCACACATTGCAAGCTTCAGGAACACCTCATTTTCATTTCTCTCTTTTCCCCTTTCTTTCCCTTCTTGAGCTATTTGCGACCATGTCGGGCGCAAACAGGAAATATGAGTTGCGACACATTTTTAACCGCCATGCTGTGCACAGTTGAGCGATTCACTATGGGAAAACGGCAAGCAATTAAAAAAGGAATGTCGATTCAGAATAAAAAAGGTGCATCATCCTAATGTGCATCGCTTTTCATCAGAGAGGGCCCAAACACACACGTTTTGGATAAGAAACTCGTCATTTTTATTTAAACTCACCTGAAACGTCCCACCAGAAACATCGACGACCGGAAAATAATTAAATTTGATAACCAAAGTATGGCTGACCTTTTGACGATATTTTTACCCCGTTTTCTCATGCCAGTTTTTCTGTAGGGAGGTAGGTCGCAAATCGGAAAGGGTCGCTAATTAGGCACCTTACCCTAGTGCGGCCTGGTCGGCGACGACCGGCCGGCGGTCACTGAGTGCTGCCATCTTACATGGTGCATATGCTGCCATCTTCAAACATATTAGCATAGTGCATATGCTGTCATCGACAAACAGTTCTGCAATGCTGCCATCTACCCAAACGGCACAATGCACATCGCATGAGGCTGGGAACACTGCCCTAAGCCACTAAAGCGGAAATTTATTAACGCTTTATATTCCTTAAAAACTTGTCAACAAGATGACTTTTGAATACCTAGTGTTTTATATTTAGTACCAATGTGTATACTGTATAACGTAGGTATCTGTAGTGTGTACCTACAAATCTATACATGTAAAAAAATGCTCTTATCAGCGGCTCCCATATTGGCTTTGATCTCTCACCGACAAAATGTCGACACCTCTGATCCGCACTCCGACCGACTGGCGACACGCGGGCGATTGATTGCCCCCGCGGGGCGGCTCTGATTCACACCGAATCAACGGGGAAATTCGGAAGCGATGGAAGCGCTCGTAAGCGACTTTACGTCGGGATGAAGTGAGAAACTGAAGGTAGTGGCTGAATGGTGAAATTCCCCTGGGGCCGATCTCGGGGGGTCACAGGTCAGCCGTCTCCGTCCCGGTGTGAGGGATTGATCAGTACAGGGACGCGGATTGGATCGACAGGGAGCGACACGAATTCCGACCCGTCTAGCTTGGTATGGGCTTAGCTGAACCTTTGATGATCTAACTGATCTATAACATTAGTGCTTAGATGTTTGTCAGTGCCAATTGGGCTATATCGATAAAGCTAAAATTAAAATAAGTTGCTCTTTACTCTTTAGTCTTTACATAGTGCTCGAAGTTCTTTCCTTCAAATAAGTATTTTGATCATTACTAAGAAACGTATCGTGTATGAGGAAAAACTGACTCCCTCGAGGGTCGGCACTGAGCAAAATTGAACCAAATTCCGGTACCAGCGAATGGGTATTCGGGCGCATATTTTGCCAACTATATTTGTTTTGTTGGACGGCTAGGCTGTCCCGGTTTGACAAGACCATTTCGGGATAGATGTGATGGGATAAGGGGAAGACAGTGGACTGATGGACAACAATACCGGATAGAGAGCTGTCACGGCTGAGCCCGTCCAGTAAGACAAGCATAAGTAGTTTTGCCGTTCGAACGGTGACGACCGCGACGGTTGGGTATCGCTTATGTTCTTGGAGTCTGCTCTTGGATGGACTAGTTGCCGATGGGAGTAACCCTGTCTAGGACTGGGGTGGGCAAGCATTGATCAGTGAAGCGCATGGGTAAGTTTTGAGGACTGTTAAAGTCGGATGACTGTCTGCTGCTGCCTGCTGTGAATTGTGATCGTCTTCGTCTCTCTTCCGTCACGGTCCTCCGCCGGCTGCGGCGTTAGTTGCGGCGGCGGCCGCCAGGTGGCAGGCTCAGGACGGTGTGCCTCGGGCGGCCGTCAGTGTCACACGGCCGGTCACCGGCGCCGGGCGGAGTCGGGATGGGCGGCTGGTTACCGGCGCTGGTGCTGGTGCCGGGGTTGGTGCTGGTGATGGGGCCGCTGCCCTGCCTACAGCTGCGGCCCGGCCGAAGTCTCGGCCGCTCCCACGATCTCGGTACCAACGTCTCCGACGTCCTCAACAACCTGATGAGCGAGGACAAGTACGACAGGAGAATCCGACCCGGCTTTGGCGGTGAGTGCAGCGAGGGAGCTCGGCGCTGGGAAGATCACGAGGTCAGGAATGATCACGCGACAGGTCATGAGGTCAGGGGACAAACAAGCTACGATGGTAGGCGATGGCCAGTGATCACGGTGGTAGGTCACGATATGACCTGACATCGGACGATGACACCTACTGTGACCAGTGGGTCCTTTTGTGGACAGGTGGGCCGGTTGTCCAGAGAGAGACACCCGTGACATAGAATCGCCTTGGGCTTCACAGGACTCTTGTCATACAGTCGCCCCTTGCTGAGGGATCAGCCCGTTAGTGGACGATGCCGTTTGATGTTCGCTACTTGGATTACTGTGCCGGACTCGTTGCTAAAATTGAACGGCATAATTAATTTCGCATGTCATCTGCCGATGCCATCGATGCCATATGTTCGTATAGTATACAATGAACATTTAAACGAAAGATGATAATATCCAGGCACTCTTTCCAGGCCCCATCAGTAAAAATTAATGCATGCAGGATGCATGGATGGAATGGATGGAATGGAATCAATGGATCAATCAATGGAATGGAATCATGGATGGCATGAAGTCAATGGATCTGACCATGCATATCTGTGACAAAATGTCATTCTAGCGGGCCAGGCTTCACAAACCTTGCTCTTGCAAAATTGCAACTCTTGCTTCGTTGCTATTTCCAATCGCTTACATACTAAAATCACCAAAAGTTGCACGTTCTCAATGTAAGCCATCGAGCCCAATGATATGCAGTCATCAAAATTGATGTGCGGTGGTCTGGACCGTGGTTTCCCTTTCAATCTCGCCTGGCCATTCCGTTTATACCGGACGATTACCATCGCGGTTGTCAGAGCGTTCCTGGTCTTCCAGCTCTGAGAAGGCCTGGTAGAGAGGAAAGCAGAATAGAAGGAAAGATCTTGGGAGAAAGGTGACAGACGGTGACCCTAGTCTACATAGAGACAAATCGACATCGGGCACATGGTTTCAGAATCAGTTAATTATGCAGGGGTAATGTTCCTTTGTTTATGACAATTGTAATCGATATGTATTTACTTCACATATACAATAAAGAGAATATAGGGATAGTACCTATCGTTTTTAAATGAAAAAGACCAGTGCATGGCAGTCGACATCTATTTGATGGTGACATAAAAACCGTTTTTAAGTTCGAAGTAAATAGTCTATGTGCCTTATATCGCTATTCTGACCTTCCAGCGGTGGATGCGTTTGTGCGAGTTCGTGCGTGTATGCGTGCTGATGCGTGTGTGCATGTGCGCGCGTGCTTGCGTGCGTGTCCTTTGCGTGCGTGACGGCTGGTCGGGAGGTGTAAGGTCGAATCAGCAGGGCTCACCGCTGCCGGGTGTTGTATCGGTGACTGAGCGGATCAACGCTGACGCTGAGCGCGGCGAAAAAAGAGCCACCGCTCAGCTCAGGGGGGGAGAGAGAGAGAGAGAGAGAGAGAGAGAGAGAGAGAGAGAGAGAGAGAGAGAGAGAGAGAGAGAGAGAGAGAGGAAGGAGAAGGAGAAGGAGAAGGAGAAGGAATAGGAGAAGGAGAAGGAGAAGGAGAAGGAGAAGGAGAAGGAGAAGGAGAAGGAGGAGGAGGAGGAGGAGGAGGAGGAGGAGGAGGAGGAGGAGGAGGAGGAGGAGGAGGAGGAGGAGGAGGAGGAGGAGGAGGAGGAGGAGGAGGAGGAGGAGGAGGAGGAGGAGGAGGAGGAGGAGGAGGAGGAGGAGGAGGAGGAGGAGGAGGAGGAGGAGAAGGAGGAGGAGGAGGAGGAGGAGGAGGAGGAGGAGGAGGAGGAGGAGGAGGAGAAGGAGAAGGAGAAGGAAAGGAGGAAGGGAGGGAGAGAGAGAGAGAGGGAGGGAGAGCACTAGCAGTCCAACTCCTCGTCTCCTTTGCCATTTGCCGCCAGTCTCATCGTATGTAACACTGTCCATCTACATAGTCTCCTCCTCGCCTCTAGCACTGCCCCCCTTCTAACAAAGTGTTGTATCTTGAGACACTGTTAAACCGGATGCGATATATTTGACTTAGGCAACAGCACCATACCGACGGCTGGCTCAACGGTGACCGACCGACTCCCTCACCGTCCGGCCAGCACGACGCGGTCCTGAGTCTGACACGATCACGTGACTGACCGATCAACGGTCAGCCAATCACAAAGCGAGACGCCAGACAGCGAGACGCCAGACAGCGAGACACAACACCAAACTGGGCGGGTACCCGCGCACCGCTCCGATTTGGATGGGTAACCGCTCCGGAATGTTCCCAGCACAAAACGACCGTTCCCAGCACACAACACAAAGTTTCCCTGCCTCTATGCCCCCATATAATCTCCCCAGTCCCCGATCTGGTGACAGCGGTACAGTCGATTCACTCGGAGCCGCCATGGCCCACGACTCTTGGCATTACCTGCCAGGTCGCATTGTTTGCAGCTCAGATATTGGACCGTGACGGCGACGGCGACGGCGAATATTGGCCTTATGACACCGTCTCGCCGTATCACCAGGCTCTTTGAGCTTTGCCGAGTCTAATCCACAGTGGTCCAGATATTATTACATAGATCATGGGCTATGAAGCCGAGGACCCAGTAAAGCCGTTCACTCAGGACGCCGTAATCTTGGACGTGCATTTATGGGTCATGGGTCTGCGTCTATGTATGCGTCTACTTGATTTCACCTTTTGAAAACTACTTTGCTTGCCTTTGACAACTGTTAGTTTTATTTATCAGGAGCGTTCGATTGTGCCTCCTTTGAACTACATAGCAGCAGTATTGCAACAAGCCTCATCCCACACGTTCCAATAATGCAGTGTTATTGAGACTGTTACTGCGTCACACTGAAGGATATTTGATCGTTTTTTTCGTATTAGTCGACTTCAAAGCCGTTTCAGCTGCTGTCCACAGATCCCGGACAAGACCACCAGCAGGACATCACAGGCTGACGCGCATTAGACGCCATACTGTCCACACTGCTGTGCAGGCTAAAAATTGTGTGTTCTGACTGACCTGACTTAGCCACACAGATATGTTTGCACACGTCTTCACGCATCAGCTATTTTAGTTAGACTTTGAGGCTGATAGATAGGTCAAAACTTACCGTAATAAGTTACGTTATAGCATAGATAACATGAAACATGTTATCTATGGTTATAGTAATCATATCTAAAGGATAACACAATTAAATGCATACATGTGCCACTTTTTCGCGCTGTGTTAAATTCAGTGCGGAAAGTGGCTAAAGACAGCAGCAACGGATAATATCGATAACATCCATCGCAATCGATGAACTTGTGCCAGACTCAGCAATGCATCAAAATAACAAAAGCATAAAACAACAAACAGCAGATACGGACAAGACCTTTGTGCCGCCTCTCTGCCGCCCCAGTCTCGGTCGGCCTCTGTCCGGTGTGCCGCGTAGGTGACGGGTGCTCGTGTTGGCACAGACGGCCCCGCGGGGGTCAGTTCCGGCGTGCCTCGCCAGGGGAGAGAACACAATACAATCGGTGGGCGGTGGACCACCCGGGCCGGGGTCCGGCCTGAACCGTCCGGGCCGGGGTACGGTGGACGGTGGACCGCGCGGGCCGGGGTACGGTGGACCGTCCGGGCCGGGGTACGGTGGACCGCCTGGGCCGGGGTCCGGGGTACGGTGAGCCGCGCGGGCCGGGGTCCGGTGGACCGCGCGCGCTGGTGGACGGTGGACTACCCGCGCTGGGGTATGGTGGACGGTGAACCGCGCGGGCCGGAGTCCGGTGGACCGCCTGGGCCGGACCGGCAGGACAGGCAGGAAGAAGAGAATGGTCACCGGCCGTCCCTAGAACTTTGGTAGAGCGAATGTTGCACGTTGGTTCAGGCTGCATTCTTTGAATGTAGGATGCCGGAGGAGGGTTCTGTGCCGGGTGCATTGATGGGCTCAGCAGGCTGCTTCACTCCCTCCAGTTTTTCATCGGCCACCACGATACCATTTATATAAAGAGTTGCAGCTATTTACCTGCCGAAGATTTGCTATCATTGCTAAGCGTCGTTACGAAAGCAATCACTGTGACAAAATATCTCGATAATACTCCGTTTGCAATTTTAACTTAGTTCCCTATCAAAATGGTCCACCTTAGCTCCCAAATCGGAATCCCCAAATCATTTCCCACATCAGTGTAACCATTTAAGACATCACTCGAACCATCCACTGATGCCGCTTCACCCAACTCCTCACTCAGTCAGTAACCCCGTGTCTCCGAAGTCCACGGGTGTTGATGGGTGGTGTTTTTACTCCTACTCCCTAAGGGTGGCCGTGCCGGCACCTCTAATCAGGTAATGGAGTGAGCCTTGCACGCTCGGGTGACATGTGACCGAGTTCATACCGCGGACTAGGCACTGAGGGTGTCTCCGTGACCAGCCGGCGGGAGCCCCGCCACCGCAGCAATCCGAAATAGATCAAGATGTTCATTTTCCACTGCCCGGGTCAAATATAAAATGGAACATATTGGTGTGTTCTGTGTAGCATCTATGTACTCTTAAGGTTTTTTTTTAATTTCTCTTTTAATTTAACTCAACCTTTGTTCGATACAACCTGCATCGTCAATCTTCCATCAGCAGAGTCCAATGGATAGGTATGTGTGGTTCTGACATACCTATAGGGTTAAGGCTGAATAAAAAATAATATTATTTAGATATTGCAAGCGATCCCGAGCAGATGCACTCAATAATGCATTCACTTTACGTCCTTTATCAAACGCTTTTTTCACCCGAATCACGCTGTAAACGTTTATAATTGGGCTGTCTTTTGAGTTCATAGGCCGTCACTGGCTGCTTTTTACACACCAGCCCACACTTTGTCTCGCGGTGGCCTTTGTAGTCGGCACTCGTGGCTCAAAGTTCCGACCTTTTCTCCCAGTTTGGAATGTTGAACGAGAAGAAAACTCCCGTAATCCCTCTCTAGCCCAAGGCTATGCGCTGAGCGCACCAGCTAACCACCCGCCTAAGTTTGGCGGGCACGCAAAGCATCTCTAAA